TTTGTGCGGGGAGAAGGGTGCAACAATGAATGAATGGAATCCCAAAATCTCTGTAGATGTTCATTGAAATGAAAAATAAACAAACTAAATTAATTTTTAAAAAGTCACTTCTAGATCCATCATGAAATACAATGTGGTGAGTGACAGGATAATATCCATATGCGTATCATTCAAATATATGCTCTGACAACTAGAGCCAAAGAGGAGGAAATGGAAGATTTCTACCAACTTTTGCAGTCAGAAATTGATCAAACATGCAATCAAGATGCATCGATAATAATGGGTGACTGGAACACAAAAGTTGGGAACAGGGAAGAAGGATCAGTAGCTGGAAAACATGGACTCAGTGACAGAAATGAGGCTGGAGATAGAATGATAGAATTCTATACATTCAACGATTTATTCATTGCAAATACCTTTTATAAGAAACAAACGCAGGGCATACACATGGATTTCACCTGATGGTATGCATAGGAATCAATCATAGGGTAGTATTAAGAAATTCAGAATTATTCAAACATATGGTATAGTTGTAAAACTGACATCATGTGACTGCAGCCTAAAAAAACCTGGTTAAACTGCTAATTAACATTTGCTTTGCCTTAGAATCAATTTGTCCATAGTCATGCAGAGTACCTTAAACTGTCTGTTTTCTAGGAGGGGAAATGCACCTTTCATTGAGTTGTTGTTATTATTTGCCATCAAGTCACGCCTTCTATAATTTGCGTGCAACTCATAGCAACCTTATTATATACAACAGCTCTGAATCCTGCCCTATCTTGATCTAGTCTCACTGACTTGACACACCTCCTCCCATAACTCCAGCTCCTGTGTCAATTCATCTCATCGAGGTCTTCTTCTATTGCGTTGTCCCTCCACCCTTTCAAGCATGATATCCTTCTCCAAAGACTGGTCCCTTGTCTCCTGGCCATGTGCCCAAAGTATGTGAAATGGAACTTCAAAATCCTTGCCTAAAAGGAGAAACTTGTTTTCACCCTCTCCAACACAGACCTGTTTGTTCTCTTAGCAGTCCATGGTATGTTGAATACTTTCTCCAGCACCACAACTCATCTTTAGCCATTATACAGCTCTCTGAAGCAGAGCAAGTAATTGCGAAGACCATGGCCTCGATCAGGCACTCCTTAGTCCCTAGACTGACATCATTACTCTTTAGCACTCTGGAGACGTCTCTGACAGCAGACTTTTTCAATGCAATTTGTCTTTTGATTTCCTGACTTCTGGCGCCAAGAGTGTTGATAGTGGAGTCAAGCAAGCTGAAATTGTTACCAATCTCAATCTCTTCTCCATCTATCATGATGCTGCCAAATGGCCCAGTGGTGAGAATCTTTGGTTTCTTGATGTTGAACTTAAATCTTTATTGAAGACTACAGTCTTTGACCTTCTGTAGCAAATTCTTTAGGTTTTCCTGTTTATGGTCATTGAGTTAGCAATTGCCTTTTTTTAGTCATATGTAAACTGTAGCCTAAGTTGCATGTTAACTAAAAACTGTATGTAAAAATCATAAAGTTGTATTTTTCTCAGTCACGTGTAAACTGTATTAAAGCTGTTCGTTTACCAAGAAAGAAAAGGCATTCTTCCTGAATTAGCATTTAACTTTTTTTAAATTCTTTTTTTAAGCATTTACCTTTTGAAATAGTATTTTTCTTGTTGTTGTTAAGTGCAACACACAGCAACCCTATGAACAGTGGCTCTGAACCCCATCCTATTCCATGCCATCTTCACAATCACTGACACACTAGAGTCCATTGCTGGAGTCACTGTGTCAATCCACCAGGTTGAAGGTCTTCCTCTCCTTCGTCCACCCTCCACCCTTCCAAGTCTCACCTCCTTCTCTAAGGAATAGCCCCTCCTAGCAGCATGTCCAAAGTTTGTGAGGCAAACTCTCATCATCCTTGCCTCCAAAGATCTTGCCAGCTGCACCCTCTCCAAGACATGTTTGTTTGTTCTTTTGGAAGTCCATGGGATATTCAGTGCTCTTCTCTAACACCGCAGCTCAAAGGCTTCACTTCTTCTTCTGTAATCCCTATTCTTGTGGTATTAACCGACAAGAAGTCAATCCTGGAGTGGAGGCCTTTTACTCAGGATCTTCCAGGGAAAGAAGCTGTACATGAGAGTTGTACTTAAGAACTTTAAAGTGAAGTCATACTGACTGCATCATAAGAGACTGACAGCAGCATGATATGGTCAGAATCAGAGGAATCCTGATTACTTGAGACTTAGGACATCACATCAGGGGCTGGTCAATGGGAGACGGGTGTTAAATGTTGTAAGCAAAAGTAGGAAGGGTTGGTGGTGGAGTAGGGAAAGGGTGGATTTAAAAAACAAAACAAAACAAGAAAAAAAAAAACCCACCAAACAGCAAAACCCAAAACCAATCAAATATGTAGCCAGGTGGGCAGCAACATTGAATATTGGTCTTTCTAACTGGTAAATATCCTTCATTTACTCATTTCTGTAGAATGCTAGTCTGTCAGATACTATTATATATATTTAAAAATTGAGACAGACTAGGAAGAAGGATTGGCCATCCACTTCTGAAATTACAGGCCTTCGAAAACCCTATGTACAATAAAGCACACTTAGATTATCATTTGGACTAACAGACAGGGCGTTTAGGGCTTTTGTACATAGGGTCGCTATGAGTTGCAAACGACTCAATGGCACATAAGAACAACAACCACAATCCTTATTCATTGTCTAACTCTCAGATGCTAACAAGTGATCAGAAAGACTATAGCCTGAATCATACACACTTTAGTCCTCAAACTGACATCATTACTCCTCAATAATTTGGAGAGGTTCTTAACTGCAGACTTTCCTAGTGCAATGCATATCATGACTTCCTGATTGCTGGTACCAAGGCTGTTAACTGTGGATCCAAGTAAGATAAAGTTGACAGTTTCAATCTTTTCTCCATGCATTATGATACTGCCTATTTGTCCAAGAATCTTTGTTTTCTGAGTTGCAATTCATATTGAAGGCTGCATTCCTTGACCTTCTGCAACAAGTGCTTCAAGTCCTCCTCACTTTCCGGCAAGCAAGGTTGTGTTATCTGTAAATTTTTTCACAAGTTGTATGTTTACTAGTAACAGTGTATGATTGCTCTTTTGAATGTAAAAATCCTGTAGCTTTCAACTAGAGATATGTTAAGTAGTATGTTAAGTAGATTAATACCTAACCCAAGCATAAGCACAAATAACCATTCCTAGATAGGGAGACAGTTTTTGAGAGAATTGTCTCTGCTTTCCCAGATCTGCAAGAAAGTGCTTTCGATATTGCAATCCGTCTGGCAAGCTACTACAAAAATAACCCCTTGCGTTCACTAACAGGGAGAGAAAGGGGAAGGGACAGAGAGAGGGGGGGAAAGGGACAGAGAGAGAAGGGGACAAAGGAAAGGGAGGGAGGAAGAGAGAGAGAAACAGAGAGAGGGAGCGGCTGGTGAGAGAGAGAAAGAGGGAAACAGACATAGGGAGGGAGACAGGGAGATGGGGAAGAGAGATACACACAGAGAGGGGACGAAAGAAAATGGGAGGGAGAGACACACACAGAGAAATGAAGAAGAGAAATACTGAGACCAACAAAGCCTCTAATAATCCCACCTCCCTATATCCTGCCATAAGAACTGCACTCTTGGTTTCAGACACCTGGTCGCAATGCAGTGTGGGAGATGTAGTCCTCCTGCCTGACCAGGGTGTCATCACTGAATAATTCACTTTCCCAGTTGGCCCTATGTGCGCGTGCGCAGATTACTCCCTGGCGGGTGGTAAACAGAACCTACTGGCAGCGTTTGCTGCTTGGAGCAAAACAAAAGGAGTACGGGGGAGGGGAAAGGGGCAGAGGCGTTGAGGAGGGGTGGTGGTGGTGGTTATGTGGTAGGAAAGTTGATAGGGGATTTGGTGAGGGAATAAGAGGGTGAAGCTGCTTGGACCTAGACGCTGTTAAAAGTACCAAAAAGGGAAAAGGTGGGGGAGGGGCAAGTGACTTGTGGAGAGGGGAGTCGAGCGTGGGGCAGGGAGAGTCTAGTGGGGAATTTGGGCTGGAGTGGGGAAGCGGGGAGTCGAGCTATGGAGAAGGTTGGTAATAAGAGTGTAACACGTGAGGTGATAGCTTGCCTCTGGATTAAAAGAGAAGGAAGCTGAGTGGCAGGCTAGAGAAAAGGGGGAAAATGTCTTCCGTGGGCAAGGTGGTGTCTAGAGACAAGCCCTGAGGCTACATATTGTAGTCAGGAAGATCAGAGAACTGTGTGGAAAGGACGACTTGGGGACTAGTGTTCTGGAGCAAGTGGGAAGTTTGAAGCTTTCTGTGCACTAGAAGGAATGTGCCCCAGATTGGTTCACAGTGTTTCCCCCCCCTAGGTGGGACTTGAGGGACTGTAGTAAGCTCTACTGAATGTCGAGCAGCAGCGATCCAACTCCACGTATGGATCTAGGAGATGAGAATTCACTCACAGAAGCTTCAGGAATCATAGACCTTGATCCTAACTTCGGATCCCAGTGCCGCCCCCACTCCTGCACCTGGCCCCTTCTCCGACTAGACCTTGCCACCGAGCCACCTGAGCTACCAGAGGTGGGATCCGTTCTGAGAGACAAAGTACACGAGGAGAGGCGCTCGGACCACATCCAGGTGCCCTCCAGGCAACAGCCGGCAGGAAGCCCCCAACCAGAGATTCTGAAGGCTGTACCAGGTCCTGGGAAGGGAGGCTCCCGCCGGAATGCTTGGGGAAATCAGTCTTATGCTGAACTCATCAGCCAGGCCATTGAAAGTGCCCCAGAGAAGCGACTGACTCTTGCCCAGATCTATGAGTGGATGGTCCGCACTGTGCCCTACTTCAAGGACAAGGGTGACAGCAACAGCTCGGCAGGATGGAAGGTAACTATGACTCTCTTACCTCAGCCCCAATGCCACTGCCCTGGAACCCCCTATCTTCCTTACTACTTACTTGGAGTCCCTTATACTGTCCCTCTAGAGATCCACCTTCAATCTTTGATTATACATTTACTTCTTGTTAGGTGCCATTGAGTCGAACTCATAACGACTCTATGAACTAGAATATATACTACATTCTGTAACTGATCCTGGAGAATTACAGGTGAATGAAGCATTATCTCTGCCCTGGAAAAAAGGAATTCACTACACATTGCTTAGCACTTCAGTACTTTAGCTTGGGCTGCCACAAACACACTTCCACAGAGAAGCCTTTATCCTATTTATATTCCCCACATGACCCAGAGTTGTCATTCCTCACCTACCCTAACATGTTTTCCTCCATTCATATTGGATTTATTGGATTCCCTGCTTGTTTCCCAGTACTTCAGTGTAGAGATACTATTCTAGGGAGTAACAAAAGGTAAAAAGAGTGTTATTCATAGGATAAGGTAGCTACTCTTCTTCACTAAGAAGAAAAAGGGCTCTGGGCTGCTGTCTGCCTTGGTTTACCCTATAATGCTAAGAAATTCTCCCTTGAACGGGGTTATTCAAGTTTTGGGGGAAATTTTTCATTTACTGTTGAGGATTATCAGTCCTAATAAAGGAGAAAGAGTTCTGGTTTTAGAGCACAAGCCTGGGAGCCTTGGCCTTCCATGATGAAATCATGAAAGAATAACAATATCTCAAGATGATATACAAATCCCTCCATTTCTAATCACAAAATAAAGGAGCTCTGATGGCCTAGCAGTAAGAACCTGCATTGGAATACCAAAGGCATAGCTGCTCGGCAGGAGAAGGATGTTCTATCTCCTTCTATGTGATTAAACTGCCTCTGAAAACCTGCTGGAGGGTCAGCTATGGGTCAGTTCCAACTTGATGGTACTCAGCAACAGCAATAATCACAAAATAGGAGTCCCAGTGACACTAACAGTTAAGTGCTAAGCTACAAGCTAAAATGTTGGCCATTTGAATCTACTCAAGAGCACCTTGGAGGAAAGACCTAATACTCTTTCTGAAAGCTCACGGGCATGAAAACCCTATGAAGCACAGTTTTACTCCAAAGTAGGATTGCTAGACATTGGACAGACACTTTTTAAAAATTATTACATTGGAGTGCTTGCTACAATTTAAAGTTGACTCAACTCACAGAAGATCTTCCCCTAGGTATAGGAAATGGTAACAATAACCTCTATTAATGTTTTCTCTCTCTCTCTCTCTCTCTCTCTCTCTCTCTCTCTCACACACACACACACACACACACACACACACACACACGTGATGAAATCAGCATACAAAGATGTACAGAGAATTTAATGATCAGGAGGGTCTTCCCCTTGATATAGGTGACTGAGGGATTAGATGATTAGGGGCAAGCAAAAACAGAAAACAGGGCCTTTAACTACAATCCTTGATACTCTTTCTGAGTAGATTCCCATATCACAGTCTCAGTTTAAGTCCAAGGAGAACTCCCCTCTGGACCCCACCAACACAGCTGTTTTTCTTTTACTTTCATTCATTTTTCAGGGTAGAAGAACCTGTCACAAGTTGTTACTTATACTGTGGGAATGTAGTCCCTCCTTATCGTTTACTTACACAGGACTTTTCAGTTTATAAAGTGGCTTTAAAATATTGTTTCATTAATCTTCTGAGCAATCCTGAGATTCCACATTTTGTATGTTCTGTTCAGGAAAATTGTGACCCTATTATCTGTAGAATGAGGACTTGAACTTAAGTCTTCTAACTATAAGGCATATGTTCTTTGTACTAGTCCATGCTGTGAGATTTTCTTCCAGACCCTAAGAAAGGCATGGCTTGCTCTCACTGGAATGATGGCAAAACCTAATGAGGCTAAACCTGGGCTTCAGGGCTCTGGAGAGGTAGGAGAAAGCTTTTTTTCTAAATTATCTTCCTGAGTGAAATGCTACGGTTACTTCCATACTACAAGTGATAGTCATTCACTAGAACAGAAAAGTAAGAAAAGTAACTTGGGGAGCAATTGGCAGCCACCTCCTTCCTACATGTAAGAATTACAGGCTTCAGCAAAAAAGAGGAAGACCTTCAATGAGATGGATTGACACAGTGACTACAGGAGTGGACTCGTGTGTCAGAAATTATAAGGATGGCACAGGAATATGTCAGGGTTCAGGTCTCTTGTTCATAGTGTTGCTCTGAGTTGAACTTGATTCTTTGGTACCTAACAACTCAATGGCAACAACATCTACAAGGGAGCTGGCTTCTCTAGATAAGAGGCTGTATGGCTTACTAGTTCTGAGACATTAAGAAGGACCCATGAACTAATTGATGGACTTTCTATATACCAAGTCTTGTTCAAAAACCTCATTACTGTTGAGTTGGAACTGACCCTCTAGCAGTTTTTCAGAGACTGTAAATCACACAGGAGGATATTGCACACCTTTCTCCTATGGAGCCATTGGTGGATTCAAACCACCAGAGAGGCACCACCTTTAAGTTAGTAATGAAACTTTCAGAACTCCTTCAATACTAAGTAGAAAGCATGAAAAAATGAGCCCTCTCAGTAGACCCAGGAATTACAGGATAAAGAGGAGAATATTATGGTGGCAGAAGTCATTATGGTTCTTACTTGTTAACAGCTCTGATTAAATGGAAATGTGACTCCTTGAAGGGGCAAGACACATCAATACATCAGAGTAGTTAGAGTGCTATTACAGCAGGGTCCTAGATAGACAAGGAGCTTTTTGGCTTTAAAGCCCTAGAATAATAAGCTGCCTAACCTAGACAAAAGGTCTTACTTTAGAGCCATTGGTAAGAGTAGTTTCTCACTGCCCATAGCCTCAGTTTCCTAATTGTCCCAAGCCCTTCTCACCTCCTAAGTTTCTACATTCTACATTTCAAGCAGGAAGTCAAATGCCCCCTAAGTTAGATAATTTAACACAAATTCCCTAAGGAGAAGTGCAGAATAGAAATAGAGAATTAGAGAGGTTAGAAATTGGAGGGAGGAAGAACCCAGTGGTATACCTAACCTGACTCAAGAAGCTGTTTCCTAGAGTTCTTGGAGAAAATTTATTCAAGCAGAATGTCATTACATTAGTGCGAGATGAAGGAAAGACACCTAGCTTCCAATACGCAGGCACTCAAAAGCTGACAGAGCCTTAAGTGGAACCTCACCATTATAGTGAGGGCCACCTGTCCCTCAGCCTTTGCAGAGTGCTAGCTCCACACAGGGTAGATCAGTTTGGGCTGTTATACCACTCTTCTGTAAACTGCACCCAAGCCTATATTCAAGGAAAGGAGGGTGGGTTAATTGTTGTAGTTGTGTGTCATTGAGTCAGGGCTAACCTGTAATTGACCCTTCAGTGGGTTTTCAGAGGTGGTTAATTGCACAAGAGGATATTGCCCATCATTCTCCTGCAGAGCAGCTGGTGGATTTGAACTGCTTGCCTTCAGGATTGCAGTGCAGCTTCTTAACACTAGGCCACCAGAGTAATTCATTAATCAATGACAGTGCTATAAAGCAAAATGTCTGAATGATTGTGTGGAAAAACCTATAAGGTTTGTAAATAATCACTCAAAGAAACTTACAAAAGGAGAGGGATGGAACTCTGGAATGCTCTTTTCCATGAATCTAATTATGTGCCATGGATGTGCCTTCCCCATATCTACCAACAATCCCTAGACTTGGGAGGAATACAGTGTTGTTAGCTTTTCTTTTTTTTAATTATTTTTTATTAA